GTCTCCTTCAGGATCACAGTCCGACAGCGTTTAGAGGATTTCCCCTTTGCAGAACATTTGGGAAATTTAGTTTGAAAGATATTTGATAGAATTAAATGTTGTCTGGAGGAAACATGGAGTCCAGAGAATATTCAGAGGGAGGATGGATGGACAGCAGACTGCTGATGTGAATAATTATTATTTGTAATTTAAATATTATTTTCATTTAATTGTTTTTCTTCCCTTCCTGTGTCGAACAGGTCATGGTGTTCGTTCACGCCCGCAATGCCACAGTGAGGACAGCGTTCAGCTTGATAGAGATGGCCAAGAACAGAGGAGAAATCTGCTTCTTCCAGCCGGACCAGGGCCCAGAGTACGGCCAGTGTGAAAAACAGGTACAATCAAAGACGGGTTGTTTCTGAGAGAAGTTCAGCTCAGCTGGGCTCCAGGAGACGGAGGGAAGCGGCTTTCTAGAGCAGCACATCAGAATCAGAACGCTTCAACAGACTGATTATTGTTTCAGCTTCTCCTTCCTGGTAAAAGCCCAGCTGCTCCTGATATCCTGCTGACTATAAGATACTGAAAGCCAGATGTGCTCCGTTGAACCATCTAGAAGCTGCAGCAGCTAAACCAAACTTTAGGTTTCCTCTGTTAGATGATTTAATTCAGTATAACTGTCTAACAGATGATGGTTAATCAGCGGCTTCAGATCTAAATAACCGAACAAAATCTGAGCCGAACTTCAGAGATTCATTTGAAAACCTGGAGAGCAGAGAGGAAATTTTCTGACCTCCACACCTGAGCATTCCTGGGATATCTGGCTGATTGTTACTTCCTCTATTTAAAAACAATAAAACATTAACAAGTTTCAGTTCAAAGGAAAAGTCCGCTTAGCAAGGAATCAACGGATCATTATTTATACCTAAAACTAAAACGTTCACCGTGATTCAATGAATTTAGCGTTAGCAGTAAAAAATATTTAAAAAAATAATTTTCATTGCGATCACTGAGTCTGGGAGCGGCCATTTTTGCCCAAATATAGTAGCCCCTCCCTCCTGCCATCTTCCAGCAGTGACGTCACGGTGCGGTAAGCCTAGCGCCATTCTCCCCGCTTTCCAAGCTAAATCAATGGGAACTACTAGACACATCTGCCTCCAGTAAAGCACCTTCTAATAAAATTACTTTTACCATATTTTCCCGACCATAAGGCGCACCGTACTAAAAGGCGTGGGTTTTATATACCGGTACATGTCCTCTACCACATTTAAATACCTCTACTGCGCATTTAAAAATAGAGCGGGAGCAAAACTGAGTATGATTGTGCTTTATTCATGTATTTATTACAAAGTATTAATCAAACCCATCAAAGTCCTCATCCTCTGTTTCTGAATTAAACAGCTGCGCTTAATCAGACATGCCAGTTTCCCCTTCTTCGCTGTCAGAGTCACTTTCCGTGCAGCGCGGCTCCTCAGAAATGATGGCTTTTGCGAAAGCTGGAACAACAGAGCCAGCAGACACGTTAGTCCAAGCATCAACAATCCATCCGCAAACGGTGGCGTAACTTGCCTTCCACTTTTCGTGGAATTATTCTGCCGGCAGAATATGTTCGCTTTTATTATCCTGCTGCCTGCTGTTTAGATGTACCAGTTGGTTCTGACGCGCGGCTGAAGCAGCTTTGCTGCTCTGGCTGCGCGGTGCAAAAGTGGGTCTGACGCGCGTTGGGCGGAGCTATCCTATCCTTTCTTTGCCTTGCAGCTATATTTGCTGTCCAGCAGCAAAACTTCAATTTTTCCATCTCGAGCAGCAGCAGCACATTGGCGGCGCGTCAGATGCTTAAACGCTCCCTCTCAAAACGCGCTGCGGGACCTTTTGCTGCGCCTATACGCGCGTCAACCATTGACTTTGCATGTAAACACGCTGCTTCTGCTGCACCTGCTGGGTCCGGTTCACACCGATGTCGAGCGGTTGAATAACAGCAAGCACAGCGTTCATTTGTTTCACCCAGTTTTTCACATCGGCTGTGAGATGGGCACGAATGGAGTCACAGATTAACAGCGATGGTGATGCGTGGAAAAAACCACCTGGTCTCCTTACATACACCTCCCTCAGCCACTCTTTCATCATCTCCTCAATGAGGAGTTCTGCATGGTGCATGGTGGTCTCAAAAGTCCGCAGTAACAACACACATAGGCCGCGCCGCACTATAGGGCGCGCCGCACATTTTGAGGGAAAAAAAGACGTTTATATGCGCCTTATAGTCGTGAAAATACGGTAATTAAAAGCACTTATTATTTATTGAACAGTTTGTAATGATTTTATTTTTAAAGTACTGTACTTTCAGAAGTTTGACTTCTGATGATATCACCGGACTTTTCCTCTAAACACATAAGAAACCGTCATTAATAAATCAATTAACAATGCGAGGGAGCAGGAAACATGGCTGCTGGATGAAAGGAGGGAAAAGCGCTAAGCTGGGGGATAGATGCTCTCAGTTTCTGTTTTCTCCAGTAGATACATCCCTCCCTAAAACAACGCTGCTGCTTTTAAAACGTTTGGAGCAAGAAGGACCAACCTGCTCCAGTTTGAGAAGAGCTGGATTCCCTGATTAACAGCCTTTAATAAGCGTGTGTGTGTGTGTGTGTGTGTGGGCACCCGGACGGTGAAGGTGTGTAATTAATGGTCTCGGTGCTGGGAGAGTACACAGAGGGGCAGCTTTATTCTTTCTCAGAGGACAGTCAGTCAGATCCAACTCCTGTATTTAAATCTGCTGTAGTGATAAATTTAGTAACCTTTTCCTCCTTTCCCTGGGGCTGGGCCAAGATTGATGTGCCTCTAATCTCTTCTCTCTTTAAATGGGATATGTATACAAATCAGATCACTTTTCATGCTTTAGAAAACTTGAAACAGAAGCAGGAGATTAGGGAAGTAAAAATGGGGCATTATGACCTGGTTAGTCTGTGAAACTCTGCTCTAAAAGTCCTCCTGCAGTTTCTGTACATAAAGGAATCATTTTTAATTGAATAATGCGTATTATCCACTCCATTAGTTTAACTTTGAATGTGTGTTTTTTCCCTCCCTGCGCTCCGCCAGAGGAAGGGGCATCAGGCCGACTCCACTTTAAACCCACACAGAGATAATGCACTGCTTATTCGCACTCTGGAAATTGCCCCGCATTAATATTTATAGGTGTTTTTTAATCTCCAATATGCATGTGCGGTGAAATAATGCCCCTCTAAGGTCACTCCAATAATTTAGCATTTATTTATCCAGCTTTAGATGATTTATTTTTCTCTCTCCTATCCATGTTGTTTAATTGGCTTTATCTCAGGAGCTGGAGAGGCTGTCAGTCAAGCTTAGACATCTGGATTTAGCCTCTCCACTCGCGTCTTATTAAACACAGTTTTTCCTCCTGAGCTGACGAGTGGAAACGTGCAGAAAACAGCCTGTTTGACTCTGCAGCTCTGCTCTCTGATCATGTTGGTACACTTGCTGTTTAAATGTTCTGCGATGAAGAGAAATCCTCTGTTGGCGTAAAAGTGGAAGTGGCTGCACATCTTATGCTGTTTCCATGTTGCTTCAGCGCTCCTAGTCGCTCCTCTCAGATTTGCATCCCAGCAACGGTCTGTCCTTTATCTAGGCCAGGTATGCCCAAAGTCAGTCCTGGAGGGCTGCTGTCCTGCAGGGTTCAGAGGTTTTCCTGCTCCAGCACTGCTGATTTTCATTGGTAGCTGATAAACGGCTTTTGCTGAACTGCAATCATCAGAATCAGCTGTGCTGAAGCAAGGAAACCTGTAAAACCTGCAGGACAGCGACTCTCCAGGAAGGACTTTGGGCATGCCAGATCTAGCTGCTCAACGTCATCCAGCTGCTTGAAAAGTTCCCCATGGAGTCGGCCATGTTTGGAAGGAAGTACCATGAAAATAGCTCCTCCTTTTAAAGCAAGGAGGGAAGTTAGGAAGCTGAGACGGAGGGATAGAGCTCTGATTGGGCAAAGCTCAGTACCTACTGTTATACACACACTCAATACAGGGGTGGAACTATCCCACCCCTATATAAAGAACTTTCTCACACACAAACATTTGGTTATTCCCATGAAAAAACAATTCAATTCATCAAGGACATACATTTTAGCCAGATTAAACTGAGAACAGGTCTCCTCATTCTTATCTCTCCTGACCCTCCCTTACACATTTGTCTAGAGTCGGGAGGCATTTGCTTTCTGTCATCCTCACTCTTAACTCCAGCAGACAGACGGGTACAAGACTTCTAAACAATCACCCCTATTTATGCAGATAAAAAGCACACTTTAAATATTTCATCTCAGGCCGAGGAAAAATATGCTTCCACAGCGGTTAGTTAGGTTCCTGCTCAGTCTGGCTCCAGCGGTTTCCAGCAGACGCTGTTTGTGGGATTGTGGCTTTGTTTTAGAGGAAAGTCGTCTGCAGGTAGATGGGTGACAGTATTCCATCCAGGAATAAATACTTGATCTGAAGGGAAAGTAAACAGAAACACTGATTTCATGTAGAAAGCTCAGTTTGCTCAGACGTTTCATCTGTTATTAGACCCATACATGCCTGCAGGCGTTTGCCGATTCTTTGGTGCAACCGGCGGCCATGTTTGCTGCTTCCTCTGCACTGTTAACATTTGATTTGTCCATAAAGGTTTGTTTGTTTAAATTGAGACGTATGTATTGTTTTTGATTACTGATGTTGTTTTATCGTGCAGATAGAGTAAGAGAGCAGCTCTGATGTCATAATAATCATGATCAGAAGCCTGCTTCAGTCAAAGTTCAATCTGAAGAGAAGGAAAACCAACTTTTACTGTTTTCTGAGGCACAAATGGGCCTGACCGTGTGATCAGCTCTTAATCCGGTTATCAGGCTGATTTAAGATGATCTTGGATTAGGAAACTTTTCAGAATTTAAATTTCTGGATTATTTTCATTCCAGGCTGCATCGTTTCAGTAGATGTTTGGTTCTGGCTGATCTCCACGGCTCGTTGTGTTCAGTAGAATTTTCTAATAACCAGAACATTGATCCAAAGTCTGCTGCTGGACCCAGTGTTCTGTCAGACCAGCATACCCAGTCAGACCAGACCCATTTATTCCTTTAGTTTATCAGTTTAGTACGAAAAAGACTTTAAACTACCTCAACAGGCGTGTTTCCCTTTAGGCGTGTGCAAAAAAACAATTTACTTACTTTTTGGTGTTTTTTGAATCGATGGCGATCAAACCTTAAATCATCATGTGACAGAACGCCGGTTCTGAACGACCCGGGCTTCTGTTCCAAAAGGATTTAGAGCAGAGTGATGATGAATCTTTATTTTCCCAGTCACTTCTGCTCAAAAGAAAATTTTATTTAATTCATCAGCTTTTATATTCCCTCTAAAATTGGAAC